ATATTAAAAATACAATAAAATCTGGAAGAAAACATCATTTGAAATCTGATAAACATCTGACTAAAAGTTGCATTTAAGAAATTATATTTAAGTTTATATAATTTTATACACCTGAAGATGGTTATTTTAGAACTGAAACATGTCGTGTAAAAAAAGTGATGATCTAATGTAAATCGAACATTTCGATAGAGAACATCATTTAATATATTTTAAATATTTAAATGTTAATTATTGTAATATTTTTAATATTCAGAATTGGTTTAAAATAATTCAATTCCTCCGATGAGTGTGTGCCACTGACTTCACCACAAGGTTTCTTCAATTTTTACCGTCTTGTTTTAATTCTTCAACAGCAAAAACTTGTAATTATTTATCCTTGCCTGTGAGTGAGAGGTCCGACGATAGGGTTGGCCAGGAGTTGAACAAAGGCCTTCGAAGCAAACATCATACCAACGGGGACTGTCTCTTTGATCAAGTCCTCGTGTCTCTTCTTCTGCATCACCTGCTGTGGCGACAACGTAGTCACGTTACCTGCAACATTGTGACGACGAGGGTAGGAAAAAGGGCGAGAATCTGCCCTTCATCTCGTGAAGACGCAAAGGATTTTCATCTGCGATAATTCATCGTCTGGACCAAAGACCTGCAGATACTCACTAGTTTCGACCGTGGTGGATGGCTCACTGGAGTATTCCTGGCTGCCCGAGGGGTTACTGCTACAAGGCGGGGGCGGTGTTGGGGCGGTCACTGTCGTGGTGCTGGCGGCGGTCATGAGATCTGCAGCAGTCTCGTTCGGGTGTCGGATCTCGTAGAGAAACTCCGGTATAATGGGAACTGAGACACAGCAATCAACGATAATTATAAAGTGAAAACCATTTTAAGAATTCAGTCCGTACCGCGAAGAAAACACAGCACTTCACCATTACAAAGATCAAATGGCTAACGCTGTTTAAGGAAATAATCGCTGTTTATTTTGAAATCCATACAAATCCTATAAATACACTGTGTTGGCAAAATGTTAAAGCAGGTGGTATTTACAATGACCACTTTACAGGAATAAGAGTTTGAATACGATACTTGCTGGTACTGTTTCATTCTGCAAGATAATAGTCCATGAAGGCTAAATGACTGTATTTAAAGACGCCAGCCACTGGTACCAAATCTGAACGAAACTAATCCAGTCCACACTCTCACATTCTGTTTCTTTAGAGACCATTTTAATATTATTACCCAACGACATTGTAACTTCGGTGATCGGACAAGAACCAGTGTTTTCCGTGATATAAAGCCTGTAAATGTAGACCCTATTAAAATTTAAACGGAGTAGGAAAGCAGACGCATGATAAATGGTGGACAACTACCTAATTAAGAGAGAGATAAAAATAAGTTTAGGCCTGCACGCTAAATGACGAAATGAGATTTAAATTCTGTAATAAGAACCAGGTTATCAGTGCTTGGGACTGATGTGATTTGGGTCCCATCTCGCTTCTCAATTTAAGCGCGTCAATATTGCCACTGCCTTCTGTAATAACCTGACGCTCCACGTCTAATTCACTTAAGTCTCATCTCAGTCACGTGACTAATAGCGCAGTGGCCCTTAGCAACGCCCCTGCTCCGCTCACAAGCGCCCTGCGGCGCCGATTGGAGACATCTCCTCTGCAGACATTCGGGCACTGAAAGCCCATTACCCGGTTAAACATCACAAAAGATCGAATTATCTTAATGAATTTTCGGGGAAAGATGATGTTTCCATCTTCAAGGCTGATAGTCTACAGCCTTGAGAACCTCAAATCTCACACACACACGAGACTTCCGGGATTTAGTAAACGCTGTTGATTCGAAGCGTATAAATAATGCATTAGCCAAGCCATACAGCGAAGTACTTCTTGAGAAGCTGACAGTTATTCAGCTGGTTGAGAAATTCGTCGCCTTCTACTGAATCCAAAGGTTCATTACCGTGTATACAAGAGCCAGTCGCTATCCCAATAATGATAACGTTAATGATGATAACAGCGATGAAATAATATAGCTATACTATTAATAGGTAATTCGGACAAGATATTCTGAAACGTTTTTGGTGTTATCAGGAAACACGGAAACATACAAACCTGTCCACTTGAGGTAGAAAATTTTAAATTTCCGCTAATATCTCGATTTATAATTATTTTATATTTTCGAATACAATACTTTCTCTATTTTTGTATAACAAATAAAGAATAACATTAATCCTTCCTGAAGAAAGTTTCTGGACGAGGGTCTTTAGCTCGTGTGAAATCGCCGTCCATACATCTCTTGGTTCCGCGGGGGCCTGAACCTATGGAAGGACTTATCGATTAATTAACCGAGTTTAATATGTGTGGAATTTACAATAGAATTTTGATATCAGAGCCGCCTGTGTAGACGTTACGTATATTATTTAGTCTGTTGTGAGAATGTATAAATGTATTGGTATTTCCCCAGAAACGTGGATCCTGCTCAAAGGTTAATGGTTACAGCAAAACAACAGGCTAGTTGGATTTTGAGTATCGTCCTACAAGAGGATGACTGCCTTCTGGTACGTCGCTCTACGTAGTCTCGTAGAAATTGGTCGATGTTTCAAATGCGGTTACTGCCTCCATCATCAGGGCGATAAGGCCAAAATCACTGTTTCTAACAATATCCTTGTGCTTTTAAAAACACAATTTAACGACATACAACCCATAAATAAACAAACACATTATATAAGTTAAGAGATTTTAATACTAGAGCGAACATTTTCGTATTCTCTCTGATAAAACATAATCTTTCCATCTAGGGGGGCACCCCCTCTGCGATACATTTTGAGTGTGGAGAGGGGTGTCCAGAACCACCCGTGTCTTCAGGCTACCCCGTTTTTTTTTATATATCGCTGAATTTTAATGAAGTTCCATGACGGGGCCCACTGTATAAAGTGTCAAGATGCCATCGTAGGTCGTCCTGGCTCTGACGGAATTAGCCACAACCGCAGTTTCGTGTACGTGGAGCGTCGGCTTCAGTTGCCGACGTATATGGAGTGAAGCACGGTACAAGAACCGATATATTGCAGAGACATGTAATCGTATTTGTCAGCCATCTATCTGATTAAAACCAATAAGGTTCTAAATATAAAGTCGATATGGTTCACTGTGCTACTCGTATTACGTCGTAAATACGACCTATCAAACATGACATTTTGAACCTTATATCTCCAAGTTCAGTTTAAAAGCTTCTACTCGGATATGGAAAGACTGAAGGGTTCAGATAATGAAGTTTCAATTTGTTTAACAACGTATCTTTCACAGAGATATTTTATCTTCGGGGTCTGATTTCCCGAAAAAAAGAAGCTTCATACAATGGCAGCCCTAACTCATGTTCGGAAATTAATGAGAACTTTTCAACTTTCGGACAGATAATATTCCCTAACGTGTAAAATTTGAGTTTGCAACAGACCACAGTAATTAATTCATTTAAGCCCACTGCCAACTGCATGCGACACCTGACTTAACGTTTCGTAACCACAATTTCCTCACAGAGTGCTATTTGTATGATACTCGAAGTAAAAATAGCAAATATTTCCCAAAATTGAATTAACCAGTGAGAACTTAAAATCTTACGGGCAGTAGATTTTCAAAATGCCGACCGGTACACGGCCTCATGAGATAAGAACAAATCCTGATCCGATATACGAACTGGGTGTATTCCAAAAAATAATAAAAAATGATGATTTGTAAATTAAAGATTCAACAAATTTTCTTCTCGGAATGACTCTTTGCGGTTGATTAATAAAACATCCCTCCCATTACTACTAGTATGTAAACTGTCTCCTAAGACAACGCAGTGTAAAATTGAACTGGTTCAGTAATGATAAATAAAAGTTGACGTAATGTCATATATTCGTGATAAGAGACTGATGATTATTCAAGTGTAAAAATCATATTCTGTTTTGGTAAATTTCGATATACTTTTGAAAATATAATATAAAATCGACGCCAAGCATCGAGACGCCATTAACCTCGACGCCGCCATAAGACGTTACATTCAGCACAGGTGATCCTAGAAAAGTCTCTGAATATTCAATTTAAAAACTGAGGTCGAGGCTCCCCGACCCACTCGTCGCGACGCAGTTAAAAAAACGCCACATTTAGCATAGATGAGCGTCGGGATGCTTCTAATATGAAGTTCAGAAAATCAACGCAGAATGCAGCGATGCGTATCGTCGTGACGCCTTCATGGGATACCACATTCATCGCAGGTGAGATTCCATTCGATGCTTCCCAGTCGCCGTACGCGGCCGACGGAAGCTACGTGTATAAGTGCGAGCGTCGGGACGCTTGCTGAGGCGACGATACAAAACGACGCCGGGCGTCGCGACGCCGCTGGACAGTGTAGACTGGATTAATATTTGTGCAAACAACAACCGGTGACCTGCTTTGTGAACACGGTAATGAATCTTCGAGTTACATAAAAGGCGGGACATTTCTTTACTATTTGTGTAACTATTTGATTTGTTATAAGACTCGCTGCACACAAAAAAACTCACAGATGATACGAAACTCTGTTGATTAAAATGAAGGTCTAGTGACTTCAAATGCGCAGCTGGGCGTTTTCTTAATCTGAGTAGACTCCCAGTCTTTATTCTAAGAATTAATGTTTACAGTATACTTAATCCACATTCAAATGTTTACTTTAACAATACTTGAAACTACGACAAAATTTTGTGACTATTTAGAACTTCTCATCAATAATTCATGACAACTTGCATTGAACTAACTTCACCACGACAACGAATCCTTTATAGTCCTCAGTATTTACACTTTACCCCATATGAGGTTTATTTTTTCTTCAAGTAAAAACCGTCGAGAGTTTCAGTTAGTATTTGAAGTCGGTGGAGTACGAAGGGGTGAGGCTGTCTAGAAAGGGATGAGACGTTGAGGGCGATGTTGTCGACCCAACGTGAACTTCCCCTATGAATAAGTCAACAAGTGCTGCATTATGCACTCCGAGGGGGGGAAGGAATCCGTTCAAACGGCCACACGAATACTGAGATTCTACTTGAGAAGTCTCCAAACTTTCCTACACAAATAAGAATTGCCCACGTGTTTTATGGCCAGTTCGAAAAATGCCTCAAGTTCAATACCAGGTTTTGTTCACATCTTCGTAACTTGTTTTCTAATTTCTTACAGAAAATAATATCAACTATGCAAATTTCTGAGTTGGGAGCGATATTAGCGTCACTTAACTGGGGGCAATGACATTTGACGGGAATAAATATATTAAAAATGATACGCTACTTTTCTTCAAACCTACCCCAGTTGGTCAGAGTGTCTTCTAGCTATCCCAAGACGACATTCTATATCTATCTCATCGTAGTTTTGGCACCTGCAGCGAGACCAATAATTTAAGTCTCAAAATCCCTATTTACACTTTTTTTAAGTGTTCTGTCTGACGACAGGTCCATATGAACAGGATCCTTCCATCCTTTTCTCGGACTGGGACCTGTTCATATACGTTCTTGGCAGATGATCCAGAAGGGGTTTGCCATTGCCTTCTTCTGTGTGTAAATGGAGTAATTGTTGGGATGCCATAGTGTTCTGTCTGAGGACAGGTCCATATGAACAGGATCCTTCCATCCTTTTCTCGGACTGGGACCTGTTCATATACGTTCTTGGCAGATGATCCAGAAGTGGTTTGCCATTGCCTTCTTCCGTGTGTGAATGGAGTAATTGTTGGGATGCCACGGAGAAACCGGGGAAGAGCCCGGAGGAAAACTCCGTGTTGCCTAGACCACGGCCTTGCAGATAACAGGAAATTATGTCGATAGGCAGAACATCACCTAT